GATTTTACAATATGATACAAAAAGGCTATGTCTGGGATTGTACAGAGGCTTTTAATTTTATCTTATAACAATTTCTAATATAGTAGTTTATTATTAGTTATAACTTATTACAAATATAAATGGTATAAGACCACTAACTCTATTTATCCAGTAGCTCCATTTCCACTCAAAACATGCAGCAATATTCAAGTTTACTTAACATTCTAATATACCTCATCAGAAGCTGGCACTCTTCATACAGGGGAATTTTTTGACACCTGAGGTAGGTTCCAATACTCTTCACATCATGAAGTACAACACTAGATCTATTCTCCATCTGTGTAGGTTGTACATCATCTAGCCACTTAAAAAAATTACATCTATCAGCTTTAGGAGCATCACAGGCATAGAAAAGGCGCCCCTGAAACAAAATGCAAGCCATAAGTAATACACATTAAAAAGCAGAACACACATGTACATATATATTTGACAGACCTACCAATTGGCAATGCTTTTTCAAACAACTTGTTTTTACAGCAGGTAAAAATATTAAAAATTCACTCTTGAAAAGTACTATGTATAGTCTATAAACCAAACGTCACAAAGCAGTGGGTCTTCAAGGACAAAATAGCTATTCCTAGAAAAGTAAACCAACTTGCAAAGAAAGGTTAACTCGGAGGACAAGTTTTCAAATAAATAGGCTTAAGGTGAAACTGGATGTGTTATCAGATTAGCAAATTGATTTTCCATCTTTTCTATATTTTAAAGAGTACTCATCCTTCCCTAAATCTGATTAGAATTGTAGAGCTTGTTGGGGAAGGGGCTCAGCTCTTTTTGTCAATGTTCTTTCTTTCTTTTAGGCTGCAGCAAAAGCACATAGCTTCTCTCTCTGTGTGTGTCTCTGTGTGTCACATCACTCCACTTCCTAGAACCCATTTTTATATTTTAAAAATGCAATGGAAATTCTCATTAAGCCCTTAGATTGCAATCCTACAGTTATATACTTTGGGAAAAGTTCTAATGAAAGTAGATTTCAGCTACAACTAAATGGGCACAGAATGGAGGTGCTATGGCAACTTAGCATTATGATGCTCAAAATCCCTATTGTGATAATTAATTTCAGACTGATATGTTATACATTCCAGAATATTTTATTCAGTCAGCTCAAAAGTGTAGCAGTCAATTTTGAAACTTTGAAGATCTCCAAATTTTAAACACAGAACACAAACCAACATGTAGCAGCTTTTGTAAAATTCTGTTCACCCTGTGAGCCACCTTGGGTCCCTTTTTGGGAGAAAAGCAAGATAGAAATTAAATAAATAAATTTTACAAAAATATGCAAACCTATGTACTTGCATATGCAGTGATGTCAACATCTCTATAGTCAAAACATGTATAAAGACAACTGTGTAAATTCACATTTGTTTTAGTCAATCCT